AATATCAGACAGCATTCGCAGCGGAACGCTAAGCTTACCTGCCACCTGGCTTAAACGACTGTATACACGTCTAGTATGTGATACAAACAATGATAACTTTGCGAACAAAAATTAGAGGTGATAAAACTGATTGACAGTGTGGCCGACAGAGAGGCAGGGAAGGAGTGATCAGGAAACCTATGTATAATATAGTAATTGCGGTTCAAACTGTTCTGTTTAATTGGTCGACAATATCGATGTGATAGAATTGGCTCTCGTTATGTGCATAATCGACTGGGAAATCATGCGCTTGGACTCATGGAGTCAAATGTATACAGTGGTCAGCCTTCGGATCATGTGATATACCACGAACACTTCTCAACTGTTGAACCTGAAAAGGACGTATTACGCAATATATAATTATTCTTGGATAATAAAACTTTTTACTTAATTATGCTGTGAACAATCTCTCAGTCTCCAGCTAGCTCAAAATGAGAGCGACGCAAATGAAGTTATGTATGGCGGAATGTCGACGGTCGCTACATAGATCGCGAAATGGTCGATGATCACGTACAAAGTAAAAAAGTACTAATTTACCATTGAGTTAATAAACAAATGTTTTCAATTTTGGGCATGTTGTTGAATCTTGTTACTTAAAACTAGTAAATGTTTTGGTTTACGATTGAAAGCGCCAGTTTACCGTCATTTTCATTCTCAATCATGGAATGACAGTACCTTTGGTACTATACTGTTCACGACAAGAAAGCATCGGCAAACCACCGCTTTTAACCGTTTCATAAATCGCTTCCATGCCTCTCTAGTCAAACATTAGCTTGCACACTGATTATAATAAATTATTACTTAAGTTTACAATCAAAGTCGCCATTTTCACCGAAAGCCACTTTAATAAAATATCAAAAGGACTGGCCCCAAAGGCATTGTCTGCTTTAGCACCGAAAATTGCCCTTGGCAATGTCTTTCATGCTAGACTGAACTCACAAGTAGTTTTCAGTCGAAAGTTATTCGTCCCAAATCGTAGTTAAACAAAATCAATCTATCACCACCGCTGCCATACCGTATTGTCCCTGCTACCGAATAACAAGTGATTCGTTCGAATGTTAGGCACGGTTTGATCGAAGAGTTCATTAAATTCTCCAGACGTTGTATGCAAATGCACCCAAATGGCTAGTGTTGCATTACCCATAGAAAAGAGTTTTATAAGAGGATTTTCTAAGTAGAAAAACATGAGATTGCGTTAAATACGAAAAAAGAAATTGGAACGCTCTAGTTGGAACGCTAAAATTTAACGAAACATCTCAACTGAAAATGGTACTTCAGTTAACGACTTGACAGAAATTAGAGCTACTTTAAAACGCATAGATAAGTTGAGAGTCTTTTCGAATGAACGTCGCAGTACCAAAGAATAAGTAGAAGCTTTCTTGTCCTAGATTTGGTCCGATCGTGCAGGTAAAGCCGTTGGAACTTGTCTAAAACGAAAAGCCTATGGCATTCTGATTCTGCTGCTTGCTGTGCTCCGTAGATAAACGCAAAAGCAGTAGAACAGGTAGAGAATTATCGTACCTTACGGTCGTGTTTACTAGTGATGGAAAATGGGAGGAAAAGATCGATCGACGAATTGCAATGGCCAGCAGCTACTGCGTAAACTCGTCCGAACCGTTGTAATTAAAGCAGAGATGAGTCTGTAGACTAAGCTCTCTATGTTCAAGTCGAGCTTCATCCTGATGCTCATCTGAGTGGTGGAGGGTCACCCATGTCATGAGTCGTCACCCCTTGTCGTGGCTGAAAAACCGATAGAAAACCCTTCATGTGCAGAGGATGTTTCTACAGACTGATGAGTCATCACGATTCCAGACAGAAAGGCGAAGGCGCAAGTACTTGCTCAATCGACTAGCCAATTTTACTGAGGACGGCGAAGAATGACCTGCAGTAAATGTCTCAAAAAATTCTGCCCATCCCTTGGGTTATAATCTGCCGAAAATTTCACACTGGCGTAGGATGGAGAACGTTCGAGACTTTGCCTGGTGCGTCTACCTCCGCTACCATATAGTGTAAGCGGTCTCGAAACCGACCGACCGACCGTTCAGAGTCGCAGAATGAATATCGGCTCTAGGGCATTTGTACGCGTTTAAGTCAAAAGTCATACAGCGAATCGTTTCTGCGGGAAGTGGACGCGGGTTTGAGAAGAGTAGCTGACTCAAAATCCGCGATGACAATGAGAGGACTTGAACTCACATGCTGAAAGCGATAACCAGAGATGGAAAGGCGTGATTGGTGGGAGCCACGTCCCCATGTGAACCCAAATGGCATTAAACTAGTGGACTTCTGGTCTTCAATTGTCTATCCATAGTTGAGCACCATCTTTAAGCATGTGATGTTACCTATCACACATGTATGCAACATTTTATGACAGCGATCAATGATATGCCATCGCCATAGTCATGCCGTGATAGTTATACCATGTCATGTCATGGATTCACCTGATCAATTTTCCACGATGCTATACGTGTAGGTCGGTTCGGACGAATCAACGGATGAAGTTCTCGATAGTTCATGTCCTCGTTTTCTGCAAACTCTGATTTTTAAAGTTCAGCACGAATCACAATATTCGTGAACCGAAATTTCCTAGCGAATAAAATGAGATGCCTCGGCAGATAAATCTGTGAGGAAACGGGTTACCAATGACGTGTCAGCAAGATTATGTGATATCCACCGATGATATGGACGTAGAGGAGGCATGGATGTTGTTTAACGCAGTAATTATCTCTTCGGCCTGATGTGGCCGTGGGCTAAAGTTGCTTCGTGTAATGAATACCGGCAAAATCAGAACTCCACTGACTCTTTATCGTCATAATTTTCAACGAGTTTACACTTCAACACGCCCGCCGTTCCTCGAGATTTCGAGTCTTAATTTAGTGTTCCTAACGTTGTAGTGGGTGACCTGCTCCACCTGCGAGAATACCTGTCTAGAATCATCGCTGACCTTCCCGCAGATAAACCGAGCAACAAGCCCAACCCCCTGTAGCCTCGTCCTTCTTCTTTCGACGACGACGTCCTTCACTCCTTTTCGCTGTCTGATCACGATGCCGTCGCTGCGTGATATTCCAAATATTTCTTCTTCCAATCACTCTCTCGTGACAGATAGCCGACGCTCTTCGGTTTTCGTGAGTGACCACATCTCACAGCCATATAACATTGCGGTAGGTCGGTACATTAGATGACAGGAGCGCGAATTTCTTTCCTGAAGTTGCCGATGAGGACGTCTTTGATGAAATTGAATGCATTCCAACCGATCCTGCTTCTTCGCTGACTATATGAATTTATACTTATCCACTGAATTATTCTATAGTCGGATTATGCCGCATTTTGATCTCTTAGCGAGCTGGGCGCTTCAACAAAGAATCCCAACGCAGT